TATGTGCAACAAACACTTGAATGAATTTTGATTTCTTAGAAAGAGTGGAAACCCTGTCAGGTTTGAGAAAGAGAAAGTGGAACAAAGAAAGAGGAATAAGAAAGTAACCAGCGGAAGGAAAGGAAGTGGATTCATTTCATCACACAAATCTGGCTTATTCACACAACCAGGACCTGCTGACCAGGAAAAAACTAGCACAGTTACACCTGCTAATGTTGGTTTTCAATGACAGACATAAGTATAATACTGAAATCTAGAAAGGGTTAGGGTTAACTAGAAGTTTTAAATTCAGTTTCATAGCATGATAAAGCGAGTCTGGACCGCTTTATTCTTTTTTTATTCATTCATTCATGTAAATCACTGTTGGCCAGTGAGTCAGTACCTTACGCTGGCCTTTTCGGTGATTGTTGCAACCTAACGTTCATGATTTCACAGCAGCTTTACTAAAACATGGCAATTTTGTGCATATTTTTTATTATATTTGGTATCAAACTGATATTTTAATATAACAGAGTTGAACTAAACGTGGAGCGACAGTGGAAGAAGTGCTGCAGCTAAAATGAATGATCCAGGTCATGGATGTATTATAATATCAGTAAAGTTACTTCTACAGTGAGTGCAGCGGTTTCTGCAGCTGGACTGTATGTTTAACACCATATTTCAGAGATACCTTAATTATATGCATTAAACATTAAATAAATCAAACCTAGAAGTGTCAGATGTGTGCTGCTCACCTTTAACCTTCCAGAGTCCAGTTCGGTAATTTCCTTTATTCACTCCACACCAGTAGAGACCAGCATCATGTGAGAGAAAATAAAATGTAAGATCTAACAATGTAATACTGTGTTATTAGCTCTCTATGTCTCTGTCCACGCTGCACTGAGTGGTGGTCACTCAGTCTCCCCCGTGTCCTCTGATCCCCGCCTGACACACTACGCAGCCACGAGGCCACGCCACTTACAGTTGTTGCTCTCTGTTATATTAATAATCTTATCTGACATGCCTGTAGCTGCTTCGATTGAGCTTGAATTCTGTAAATGTATTGTTCTGTACAGGTTTGTGATTCCTCTTGTATCATTATTTTCTTCTCATTAACTCTAAACTGGTTGTTGTTCTTTCAGTCAGGGGCAACCTCAATGTCTTTTTAGATGCTACCACCAGGAGTTGCCAAAGTCTGAAATGTTCAAATTAAATCAAACAAATGTTGAGTTTGAGAACCGGAGTTATGGAGCTCTACAGTGTTGCAGTACAGTAGAGTGCAGTTGTAGGATTTGTACTCATAAAACACATCAACACAAAAGAAACCAGACTACAGAATATGTTGGAAATCTTTTAGTGACAGAGCAGAAACAGTAGTCTGTAATATAAGTAATCAGGTATTAATGATCTTTTTACCTGTCATCAGCGAGAGGATGAGCAGGAGAAAGCTCTTCATTGTTGGTTTTGGATGCTGAGATTATCGTCGGTTGTTTCAATGGTCTTGTGTTGGTTGGTTTCTGGTATTTGCACAGCTGTATTTCCTGAACTTATATCTTACCTAAAAACTACGCGCCCACAATTTTTTATCCTTCCCCTTTTTCCATCCTAATCTAAGTGTTAGTCGTATCTCTTTCCACTTCATACATTACTTCATTACACAGTAAATTACTGTAAAGAGAGAACGACAGGGGGAGAGAGAGAGAGAGAGAGAAGTTTATGACCAACTAAATGTAATATGTAAAAAAGAAAGATCGGTATCTTATAAAAACTGCTAACACAAACCATAAAGTGGTGTAACAGTGGGTTTTTAGAGCTTTTTCCCTGAAAGCAACTGCCTGCTGTGGCTGAAAATGACACTGACAGCGGGAAAGAACCTTAACAGTCAAGTTGTGGTCAGGTGATAAACAGTGAGCTGAAACTCACTTTAAAGCTCACTTTAAAGCTCTGTAAAGCAGATTCACCTGATGATTGTCAGGATTGTCACCTGATGATTCGTCTGATACGTTATTATTATTATAAAAATATTCATTAATGTGCTGTAAAAGTCGAGGGAACCACTCTACCTATATATCGTTGTGTGTGTGAAGTCAAAGTCAATCTAACAAGGCTTCACAGAGAAATGTAGTGACTGTGACTACATGGATGATACATATCTCACTATTTTTTTTTTTAATCTCCCACTGTCTACTCTGTGAGCATTACATCCTCACCATTACTCAGAAGAGCTATGTAAAACCAACAGGATGTGAACCACAAGCCCATTTAGGTCCCAAAGCACAAAACCACAAGACACTGCTGCTGACGGGGTACAAATTACGTTATTACATTAAATCAGGTTGTCATTTGCACATGAGCTGTCAGAATATTTCTAATGGATTAATCTGCAACTCTCTGTTGCCTTTGGATTTATTAGTGTTGTTGGATTTTGACCAGCTCCTGAGAAATATATGTAATAATCTATCTATCTTGCTATATTCCCCACTAAGTTTATCAGATAGTTGTTAGTTTGTCTTTCAATCACTCTTGTAAACTGCACCAGTGTAATGTCAGCATGTATACAGATATAGAGATAACTTTTAGTTTTAAGGATTTTAAAAACATTTTCTGATTGATCACTTGTATTTGTAAATTGAAATATTATGTTACTATTTTTACTATGTATAATGTATCTTGGAAACATGTATTGTAGTATGGCAAAGTAGAGCTTAGGGTCTCTTCACGGATTCAGTGGTCTCCACTTTAAATATCACTATGTCAAATATAATTCAACCAAAGTAAATTAAAAAACAGCCCAGGCCCCTGTGTCATAGTAATTTGATTAATACATGCAATTATAATTATAGTTATAATTTATACAACTCTATTAGTAAGAAGATAAACTGATGTGATCAAATGATCAGCAGAATGTGGCAGCCTCTCTTTTGAACAAAAAACCTGGCTTGCTCAACTCTAATGTATTTGGTAGGGTGGCAGTAGCTCAGTCTGTAGGGACTTGGTACAAGTCCAGCACAGACCACAGTGGACTGGTAGCTAGAGAGGTGCCAGTTCCACCTCCTGTGCACTGCAGAGGTGCCCTTGAGCAAGGCCCCTAACTGTGCCACCATCTCTCCACATGTGTATGTCTCTAAGCCACATTTCCCATTGGGGATTAATAAAGTATATCTTCTTCTCATATGATGGGTGCCGACCCTAAAAATCATGAAAACAAGGATAGGACCCAAATGCAGACAATGCAGGCTGACCGGTAGAGTATGATGGTTTATTGCAGCAGAGACAGAATATACATGCTTACAGAATCATGAGGAAGGCTAAGGTCAACACTAGAAGAGCAGTTCAAACAGGGAAACACATCAACAAATCAAATCAAACCCTGCATACAGTAAATCTAACAAGGTTAAATTAAGAGGCTATTATACCATGTACTAAACAATTGGCAACATTTTAATCACTGTCTCCTTGACTCTATTTTGTTTTTATAATCTATGATTGCCATAACACAGTATGAAGCATCACATCACAAAACATCTCCTTTCATTAAAGCTTTTACTTTTGCTATACTAGGCTGATGGGAATGTCATTATTGTGCAGATATTGTTATAAAATCAAACCTGATGATGAAACCAGATGAAAATGAATGGGATCATCAGAGTTACTATAATTCATCCTGAACAAGGCATGAATGTCCAAAGAGTTGTTATTGATATTGAACTTAATCTCAAATGTGATCTTCAGGTGGCATCAAATGAAAGGTCAGGGAATGACAAAAGTAAAAAGAAATCGTTTTCTGGAAATTCCTATAGGAACTTTTATGAGAATCCATTGAATAGTTGTTGAAATATCAGCCTGGACCGATTAATCTTTCCTCATTGCTACTTATGGTAACTCATTGGTTTGTTGACTGTTGAGTAGAGCGGATCCTCTGGAGATCTGGATGGTTCATTGACAGTAGAGTAGGTTGGACTTTGGCTGTACTTCACAGTAGAGTATTCACAGGCCAGAGGAGCTGGGTTTTGAGGATCACTGCCTCACCACCAGCTTTATCAGAGCTGTTTTTAAAGTTGATGGTAGAGTAATCCAGTGAGGCAGAGGGGTTTGTGGGAAAGTTGGCAGTGGCATAAATCGTGGTCACTGCATTCCTGAGTCTGGTCTCTGGGCGCTCCTGTACCTCCTCGTAGATATAATCCTTCCAGGAAAGAATGAAAAATACAGTGTGAACAAATCATCTATACATTAAGCACTATGGATACAAATTGTGGTTAACCATTGTAAGTTAAATTAGAAACAGGGTAAAGGTCCAGTGTGTAGTGTAACATTTAGGAGGATCTAAAGGTTTAATATGCATAACTATGTCTTCATTATAACATGATCGTCATTGCTGGCTAATACTGAAACTGGTTAATGTAACATACATAATTCTAACTCTTGCTCAGTTTCTCCAGCAATATGAATATTATCATATAACAGTTATACATTTATACACTGACCTCTCTGGTGTGCTGCGCTGCTGCTCCATTTCTTGTGTGTTTTGAATGTGAACATCCTGACAGAAAGACATGGAAGAGAACAATAAACAGTTGCACTTGTTGATGGTTTTGTATTTTCCAGTTTGGTTTCATTGAGTAGGATTTAACAGCCACTGTGTGTCCCAATATTTATAGACATAAACCAACTTCCAGACTTAAAGAAAGTCATGTTCAGTCACTACTAACGTCATATAGTATATCTGCTTTGGCTTTTTTAGACATCACATCTGTACAAGATGGAGATGTTGTGAATGTGGTTTCTTACGTTTGTAGATGAGAATCAAAATGATGACAAACAGCAGCAGCAGTACAGCAACACAGACACCCACAGTAATGACGACCTGAGAGCCATCTGCAACACAAAGCACACAACAAAGAATAAATCCAGATCTGATTAAAACGCAGTCAACAAGTGTCTGAGTTGAGGAGTTTAAAGGCCAATTTAAAGGCCTTATCTAGAGCCAGTGTTTGAATTGTACAAATGTAAANNTCCTTCTCTTGCTCTTCTGCAGCAGGTTTAAGATATCAAACGTGCTCTCTTACCATCTCTTTCAGCAGATGTTGAAGTCATTGACTGCTGAGCAGATGAAGTAGTTGAAGAAACAGGAGATGTTGATGTTTGTACTGAAAGCAAACAAGTTGATATTAATATTAATATATTAACATTGTCTCATCATTGACCAATAACATTTTATAGTGCATATATAGGTATGAGAATATTTTTAGAGAGACTTGAAAAAGAGAACCTATCCTGAGTAACTTATAAAGCATAAATAGTGAATCACTAAAATAAAGACATTACATCTGTGTGGGTAAAATGAGTAGGAACCTGATCAGCTGTTAAGCAAATATCACTCTGCTTTTGCTGTCATGGGGACTTTAAAGGACCAGTGTGTAGGATTTAGTGGCATCACGCAGAGGTAGTTGCAGATTGGAATCAACTAAACACTAAACAGCAATACAGAAGTTAAATTGTACAAGTGTAAACGTGAACATCCTCCTTTTCTTGCTGTCACATGTGCTCTCTTACCATTTCTTCTACCAGATGCAGTGGTTGACTGGGTTGATGAAGCAGGAGATGTCGATGTTGGTGTTTTTACTGAAATCAAACAAAAGCTTAACATAGTCTCATCATTGAAAGAAAATAAAAAATACATTTCGACAAAACCTGGCAAGAAAAAACAGAAAGAGAAGCATCAAACTTGGATTCTACACAACAATCTTTCCATTATGTTTCCTTTGCTCCTTGGCAACAATACGTTTGATGTGACTGACTTTAATTTAGCTGCTTCAGTTTCAGGATATTGATTGTGCATGCTGGCTCACTGTTGTAGTTTACTGGGACGACACATTAAGACTACAGACCAAAGTGGCCCAAATCAGATTTTCTCTTTGCTCACCTGTGAGTCAGATCTATTCTTATGTTTATTTACAGTTTGGAATCAAATCTTTTCAATTCTGATTCAGGCCACTTTTATACGTGCTCCCAATCAGATCAAGTTGTTTGCAGTGTGACTCTTGATCGACATTCATCAGAATCTGATCTAGGTCACATTTAAAAAGTAATGTGAATAGTCAAACAAAAAAAGAAACTCAGATCTGAGCACTAAATCATAATTAAGTGCTGAGGCTCGCAGTTTGAATGTAGTCTTTGAGACATTGTTAAAAGTGTTAGTAACTTCTGTACATTTCCAAAGTTAAAACGCTGTGAAAAACGTTTAGTGTGTAACATTTTAATGGATTAGTTAGCTTACTTTAGCACAAAATCTGCATACCACCACCCCTAAAGCTTACTAATCGACATTTTATATTGTGTTAGTTTAATTTGTACAAACACCTATGTGTAAAAAGCATAAATAGTGAATTATAAAATTAAAGACATTACATCTGTGTGGCTAAAATGAGTAGAAACTTGATCAACTGTTAATGGTTTTTATTGTTGCTGTCCTGCTGTCAGATCACTGCAGCGTGTCGCTCTCAAGGGAAGTGCAGGAAATGAACACAAGAGCATTAATAGCAACCAAACACAGGTGGTCTGAGTCAGTCAGTATCAGCTCTTGTCATAGCGGCTGATTCTACAAAGCAAATTACTGCCAGGAGCTGGAAGTTAAAGTTCCCATTAAGTCAAAATTAATGTTAATATCTTACACTGTACATCACCTATACGCCTTTATCTGTCCTAACAATGACAAAAAGACAGTTTTTAGGTATTCTGCTGCTTCCTGGGAACTTTAACAGACCAGAGTTTAGGATTTAGTGGCATCTAGCAGTGACGTTGCAGATTGCAATCAACTGAATATTGCTAAACCGACAAGAATGTAGTAGAAACTATAGTGTCTGCCGATGTTTGGTTTGCCTGTACTGGGCTACTGTAGAAACATGATGGACTCGCTCTTTCTGTAGGTAAAAACAGCTCATTCTAAGGTAACTAAGACACAATCCTTCCTATATTCAGGTACGGTAATTAATAACTAATGATTATAACAAAGGATAATAGTAATATTGAGTATACGTTTTAATATGGGAAACAATGGCAAATGAAAACGTGCGTATAAGCACAATACTCATTTTTCTCTCACCCACTCTGAATGTCAAACCACTTCCTTTATTGTTTTCCTCCTATGTAACTGTAGTTTTCAATGGTTCAGAAACATTCAGTATCTGAAGGGGTTAATTTCTTCTCATTTTGGAAGAATCAGTATATTGTATATTTATTAAAGTAATAAAATATTTAAGTCCAGTAGTAATCAAGAATGACTGTAGATTTATGTTTACTGGACCCTCCTACAATCATAACCAGGGTCAAGATTACATCACACCAATAAAAAACGATGACTCACCTACAGTCATCAAGAATCTGTGGGGTAGAATGTGTTACTGCGTCTTGTGTCAGTGCTTTCTGCTCCACACCAGTATGTCCCACTGTCCGGCTGTTTACTTCTCTCACTGTTATGGTGATATTTCTCCTTTTTTGAGTCACTTTGTCATCCTTCATGGAAAACCTTTTGTTCAGCTTTGCTGTGCAGTGTGTTGGACTAAAGGTTGACATATAGATGGATCTTCTTCCCTTACAGATGAATTTTCTTTGAGTCGGAGCACCCATTTGGAGTATTCGACACCAGGTAGTGTATAATTCTGTCCAATAGTTCGAGACCTTCGGTGAACGTCGTAATACCCTGTAGACAGGACAGCATTGACTGTATTTCCAACATAGTTTCAGAGACACCTCAGTTATTATGTGTGAGTGAATCAAACCTAGAAGTGTGCAGATGTGTGCTGCTCCCTTTAACCTTCAGTTGTACTTGTTCTGAGTCCAGTTCGATAATTTCCTTTATTTCCTCCACACCCATTAGAGGACCAGCATCATGTGAGGACCACCGATTACTGATGGACACATTGAATCCTCTGTTGGTTTCTGTGAGATTGGTATGTTTCTGTTTGATTTTTGGAGAGAGACTTTGGGTTGATAAGAATCTCGGCTCACAAGTTGGAATTTATTCTCTTTGCGATAAACTTGTCACTGGACCTGCAGTTTGTTTCCCGTGTATAAGTCACATGTAGATGGTGCGTTTAGACGTTCTGTACGCAGTTTGGTTAAATCATCCTGAGCAGCCATCGGTTTCTCTCAAAGGGTAAAAACAAAAGTAAAAAGATTGTATATCAGTACATGTTTAGTTGTCGGTATAGTGCTTGGAAGGTACATGGCCTTTTAGGAGACAATTTCACTGGTCCACAGAAAATATATAAAACATTTAAATTACAGCAAAATATTCTAAGAAAGTGGGCCAAAGACAGGAGATAACAAGAATGGTGAATAATCATAATAATTAAATAAAACCACTGAGTAGAAATTACAAAAAGGCTTAAACTTATAAAATGCCAGTGTGGGGTATACAGATTGTCTCTTTGAAAGGCTTGTGACACTGGAGTCGAGCTGATTCAAAGAATGTGACACGTAATTACTGTGTGCATGGAAGTGAAATGTCTTTAATCTCACTGTATATCACAGTAAAGTCTGCTTTATTGTCAGCGTTATGTTGAACATATCAGGGATTTGTTAGGACGTTCTATGATCATTTTTGGATGAACATTTTTAAGTTTAAAAACACAGTTTAAAGGTGAATGTCTCTTACCAATGTCCACTTTTATTTTTGTCTCTGGGTCTTCCTCTTTGGTCTCTGGTCTTTCTCTGTTACAGTTGGGGTAGTTCGCCCAGAAGTCCCTTAGGATTGAAGGTGAGGTCTGATGGCCACCCTGAGTTCTTTCATTTGGTGGTGTGGGGATCATGGGTACAGGGAAATGCCTTCTTTGGTTTCCCACCACATAAGTTTTGTATGAATGTTTCTCTTCGTCTGACTACACGGAGGAGTGATATTCTGGTATCAGTTGTCGCAGTGTGGTTTTGGTTGAGTATTTGGCAGGTGGGGAATTCAGACCCGATTTCCTTCCTCGGCAGATTCCTTCAGCTTTCAGACCTGAGGGGCTCACAACCTGTAGATCAGACAAAGACTAAAGGTTCACATCGAAGTCGGAGAAGTACTGAGACGAAATCCCAGAGGTACTGGCAGGCGGAGTCTAAACTGAGTATCAGACTGTACTGTTAAAGTCATTTGGAAGGAATTTTATCATCTATTAGGTCAACTTTTGGGAGTCACTCAGGCTGCTCTCACCCATACACTGGCAGCGAGGTATTTCCCTCACCGAGTTTGGGTGGGGAGACCAAGGACACAGAGCTCAATGAGATGCGTATTCTCTCTT